ATGATAGTCGTGTAAAAGATTAATTGTTAAAGTGAAAAAATATAGATTAATAGATTTATGAAAAAAAACTGTTATATATATCAATTATCAAAAATGGTGTTACTATCATGTTAGTCAACATAAATGAATTTATGTCAAAAAGAATAAATACATATACGTTCATTATGAATGTTTACAATTTCAGAAAATAGTCAAACATATTCAATCAATATAATATTTGAAAACTATTAATAGGAAAAAATTTTCATTTTTTCATTTTTTTTCAAAGTAATGATTCTGATTATATAAAATTTATAAACTATAAATTTTGGGTCAATTTTTTAAAAATATGTTATTTTTCAATTGTTTTTGAAAAAATAAATATACATACACATATACATAGTTAATAAGTATATACTGATCAAAGCCAAAACATTAAAGTTTGTATTGTTCATTGTGTGTTAGTGGAATCAATCGATAATAGATAATTGGTCATGAATTAGATACAATATTCAGCAGGTTTGAAGGCAAAAATTGAACATATTCATGATTAAATTTATTGCATGACCTGTTCAATAAAGTCCATATTGTCATTTCTTGAAGTACATATTGCTCATATGGAAGTTTAATGCTTGCGTCTTAAACCTGTTTTGTATGTAGTGGGTACATGAAAGGTTTTGACATAAGTGAGCTCATTTGTATTTGTATTGTACATTCTTATTTTGAGATTATAATATAAATATAAATATATATATATACTTACTGTTAATAAGAAGATAAAAACGTTTTCCCAAAAGTATAATTGATAATAAAGGAAAATTGAAAAAATGATGGACGTCCTTTCGCATGCGAAGGGTCAGGGAGTGGAGTAAGCTGTTGCATTTGGTTTGGGTACTAAAACATGTCAGATGGGAGTCGCAATGTTTATTAGAGATAGTGATACGGTACTCACTTTCGGTTATGTACTGTGTAGAGAAACGTGTTGTACTCGTGACATCCGCTTTATACAGGACAAATGGTTTGTTTGTTTGTTTGTTTTGCATTCAACGATAGATCAACGCATCGATTTGATACGACTTGATTGATGCAGCTACAGATAACTAACTTTTGCTCGATGACACGACATTGCGCTGCATGGACTGAGCATGTTGACGGCTTTTTGCTTTCCTGGCCAACATGTTGCTTTCGACACGCTGTAATCTAATATGCTCGGCCTCGATCAGATGCATCTCTCTCGCTCGGTGGATGTTGAGGACCTAGCATCAGCAGCATGCATGCTTCTCGCTCCCATTCGTATGAACGGATGGTTGGAGGGTACAAGCCTCTCTCGTACGAAGTAAACTTCACACACACGACCTGAACCCTCCTTCGCATGTATGTATACAACATCTCTCTTCATTTATTCCATTCTGCCAGTAAAGAAAGACTTTTCCAAGAGTCTGAGCATGAAACACTGAGAAGAAAAACATATCTTTGATTAATACGCATTAAAAAAACTTGTTATGTAGAAACTATATTATATGATAATATAATCTCCTTGACAATTTCATGAGTAGACTTGTCACAAGTACAGTAAGAAAAAGGTTATTATAATAAGGAAACTTCTATATCTGAACTCTCTAACTATATATGATTATCACAACACTAGTGGTTAAAATACACAGGAAAACCTTAGCGCATTCACTATTTCGAATTTCGGACAAGTAACCTTTTGAAAAGACACCTCGCTCGAGCAATGTGGCAATCGGCTGACTGCCGTTACCATAGCATGGGTTGAGATTCATAAAATAAGCGTTACTGTTGACTAAGAGAGGATTCGAAGATCCAACAAACTGGACCTGAGAGTGAAGGGAGGGAGGGAGGGAGGGAGGGAGATTCAGTGGACTTGGCGTTGGGATGGTGAGAGAGTGAGTGAGCGTCCCCGTGATATGTACATAGAATGATTGATTTGTTGCTGCCTTGAACTTAAAAAAGCAGAAGCAGGCTTTGAAATTGATGAAGGCAACGCTGTACCGTCCAGAGCCTGAGGAGGAGGAGGAGGAGGAGTGGATCAACTGTAATTTGACTTGACTGTACCGGAGTCGATGATACTCGTGATGATGCTTATCTGCTCTGCTCAGATTTGTTCGCCGCTCTCTCATACGATTACTTTTCCGAACGATCTACTTTGTTTGCAGTTACCAAAAGCGGATCGAAACAAACAAAGGGACCCCCTGAAGGAAGGGCTGTCCCGAGGAAGGAAGCAACGAAGGAAGGAAGGAAGGCGGTTCCCAAATGGAGCCCAGAGCCCCAACTACTGCGTTCCAGGTATAGAACGACATACGGTACACCTTTACGACGTAGACAGGAGACCAGCAGCAGCAGCAGCAGCAGTTGTCGCTGCGATGGGAAGCGACTGGCAGTAGCAAGTACCGGCGACCGAGTGAGGAGGTAAGTGAGTAGGAGTCGTAGCAGCAAGTAGAAGCCGAGGAGGAAGAGAAGAGTAGGAAACGGGTACAACGTAAAGCGGAGAAGATATTTAGCGGGAGGCCATGGCACAGTACAGAGGGGCGATGCGCGCGCATCCAAATAGCGACCCAAGCGCTCGGTACGTGCACGAGAGCCGCAGATATTTGTAGTGTGCCAACTCCGTAAAGCCCCAACTCCGTAAAGTTGGGACCGCGCGGGGAGTTACCACGTAGGCCGGAAGTCGCAAGTTGGCAATTATAGGGAGGGCCGTGTTGACTAACGCGGCTGCGAAACGGAACGACGGGCCGGATGGATGAAATTGTACGTGAATCATTTGACAATGAGCTGCGGGGGCCGCAGAAGGAGGAGCAGATGAGGCGCTGGTACGAGAATGAGATCTTGTGCGCGCACGCTCGAGACGAGAAAGCGAAATGAGGAGCCGAGTGATTAGTCGACTGTGCGCCGCCACATGTGGCCACACGGCTCCTCGGCGGGAGGGAGGGACGGAGAGTCTCGACTCTCGGCTCTCTCGTCTCTTGTCCTTGCGGCGGGCGAATGCCTGTTCATTTTGTCCACGACTACTCGCTCGCTCTCTCACTCCCACGACAAGGGAGGGGAAGAGGGGAAGAGGGGGACGGGTCACGGTCGCTGGATCGATTCAATGATTGTCATTGAATTCAACAGCTTTTCAAAGTTGAATTTCGCGTTGAATGTTGTACAACAACGATCCATCTGTAGTTAGAAGTACCACGGGGGTGGGGCGAGGAGGGGGGGACGGGATCGTCTCCATCAAGTAAGAAACGAAACGATCGACCTTCTTCGACGAACACTAGTCTTCCGGGCGATTCGGATTCTTCTAGAGTTCCGTGCTTTTGAGCGAGGCGCTCATTACTTTTCGATAAGTTCTAGGCCACAACAGTAAATTCTTCGATGCATTCCAGGCGCAAGCCCTTGCGCTTTTGAGGACCACTCAACGGACTTCCGCGCTCTCAGTGTCATGATTACCAGCACTGTGCGCCTTCTAACGACAGCCGCGCGGTGACTTTTGATTTTACTGACCGAGCAGCAGCAGTCCGTAGAATTTTCTGCCCTCCCCGATAGTTTTCGGCACCCCGAGTTCAAGGGAAAACGCCGAAGGCAAGCGCCGGCCAGTGAATTCCATGAGTAACGACCTCTTTCAACTGCGGACGACTTCCATCTGCGGGACAAAGAACTGAATCGTCCAAAAGGAGAAATTTTGTGTTACGTGCCCCAGATCTTCTCAAGAGATCATTGTACCGGTTTCCAGTGCGCTCTGACCTTTCTGCCATAATAATGGGCCTAGTGCTTTTGAGTTGCTCTGGGCATCCAACTGTTCGCGTAGCTTGAGTTTCCGCCGAGACATCAGTCCTGGCCGCTGGAAGGAAGCTCATGTGTTCTCTGGGCCTTCCACTGGCTCCCAGTGCCCCTCCGCTTGTGCCGTCGAGAGGTCGAGTTCCCAGATGCACATGTGTAAAGTTCGGCTTGTAAGCACCGCCTTGTGGATACAGTAATCTGGCAGGCAGGCCTGGCCGGCGGGCGGGCGGAGATGGGCGTGGCATGATTGAGATATACGGGACTAGCAAGCACGAGATTATGCTCTCGTAGTAGTATGATACCCTGGGCCTTGCTTCCATACTCGGCCTTCTCCGTGCCAATCTAGCTCGGCCATGATGCGCCCCCGCCCGCCATTCCGTCTTCAAAAGCGAGAGCGCAGGGCTTGGACGTTCGTCAGCCTTTACGATGTTTTAGTCCCTTACGACATGTACGACGTTGAAAATCGTTCAACGGTCATTCGTCGTCATCCACATGGAAATCGGAGATACGTGGAAGTGGTGTGCTGATTCCTCAGCTGAAAGCTTAAATGCAGGTTTTTCACTGGCTTGGGCGTACAATTTCGCTCAACTGAAAGCGTACATTCTACAGGACTACATGTGACATCTGTGTATCCAGCCTCTGTTATTTCCTACAACACTGACTATGACCGTCTGGAGAGAGTTATCCGAGTGAGTTATTTCTCACCCGGGTGAAACGAGCTCCTATTCACTTCCCCAACTGGAGACGCGGAACATCATTACTCTATAAGATACTGTTCGTAATTCCCTCTCGTCACTTGGTACCACGACAGCGTGACGGCTTGGTGGCGGATCACGCACCGTGTGACACGATTTTGACTTTTGAAATGCAGAAAACATCTCGACTGATATCGAACCAGACTGACGTGCCAACACCAGGGCACCTCGGACAAGTTAGTTCAGGCCATTATACGTGACAATCAACATCGACCATTCATTGAGTATTTTCGTCCGTGGCAAAACGATCACCCGACCCACTGCGAGTACAGCCTGCAAATACTTACAGGGGTGTCACCTCATCAAACTCTTCGTGTACAAAGAGTTTGATACGAGAAACAGTACATGATTCCCCAACACAGCAATTGGTTCCAAATCAACGTTTTCTCTCGTACATGTCTAGTCCAGAACAAAGAGCACCAAAGACACAAGAAAGAATATCCATGCTGTTATCAATACCTGGCACGAACATGTGAAAAAGATGCGTCTCTAGCAAATTAAACTTTTGGTGCCCGTGGGTAACATTTGAGATGTCGAGTTGTCGCACACAAGCGGGTAGAAAGGAATCAGCTCTCAATCCCAATTATGGATAAGTAAACCCTACAAGTACACAAATTGAGTGGGCCATGCCCTTTCGCCAGTAAAGCTTCAAGAAGACACTACTCAAATGTGATCTGAAACTCAATGCAGTTTTGCTGTGGCTCTATACACCTTCGATTTAGTGGCCGTGACATGAGTAGTAGCTACAAAGGGTCGAAGTTCAGACCGTGATTGGCAAAAATGTCTCCGAGAGACTGGCATTCAATTTCAAAAGGCCTAACTACAGGGCCCACATAGTAATCACGAGGTCATTTGCGACGGCAGACTAATCTGTTTATTGTACTTGGGTGTTGAACTCGAAAAAAAGATTACCAGGAAAGAACTGGTGGCTCCATTTCCTTTTCCATAATTTTCAGTCCTTTTGTATAATTTTACACAACTCGAGGAAAAGGGCAATCACCAGATTCACAACCAATAATATGACGAGGAGGAGGAACCAGTGGCCCTGAGGGACAAAAAGATGCACAATTACGCAGCAGCCCTCTGCTGTGTAGATCTGTAGCATACTCGTTTGGCGGCACGAATAATGTCCTCCAACTGCATACGGACATTTTGGAAGAAAAACAGTAAGACAACGGGAAGGAATGAGCGGCAAATTCATCTCAAGCACAAACAGGACAGATATTTAAGTCACAATGTTGCCTTCTTCTCCTTGAGGATCTGTCTTGAGATAACCGTGGAGCAAAAAGCGTTATATTGGCATTTTCTCCATAAGCTTCATTCTCAAGCCTCATAACCATAAGCATCAATACACAAAATTTGGAATTTATCTATTCTTACTTCCATCAACAAGCGTGGGAAAAGGAAACTAAACACCAAACAACAGGAACGAACAAATCTCACCTGGGGAACGGCTAAACGCTCAAGGTTTGCAGCATATGGCATGGGGACATCGGCTCCACAAATCCTCTCAATTGGTGCATCCAAATATTCAAAACTTTGCTCCACCACACTGGCACTGTTTTTACCGATCAAACCATCGACATTAGTATCAGTACAAAGTAAAGCAGTAAAGTTTGTAACATGTACCGGGAAAACTGATATGGTTATCATTGCTATACCACCTGACGGACCCCAGTGACAAAACCACATCATCATCAAAGACCTTGAAGCCTAAGCTGACGTGAGGGATTCGATGGCAATCCAAAATAAATTTTTCGAAAACAATACAAATGTAATAAGTCAAGATATCTGCCCGGCATGAAAGTGGTCGAAACAAGAAGCTAAATTATCAAAGTCTCCACAACCATTACCAGATTTCGGCTCCGACACCATGCTGGGGCCAGCCTTCTTCCACAGTCAAAAGTCGGGATGTCTTTCTGACAGATGCATTAATAGTTGCTCTATCTAGCGGCCGGATCGATCGAAGATTGATGACCTGGAGACAACTTCGTGTTACTGACGAATTTAGAAACAAAAATACTAACCAACTTGAGAAAACCAAATACACATAACACTCAGAACTAATTCGGGCAAACACGACACTACTAGTATAGGATAAAAACGTAGAACTAACAACTCCGCAATCACGCTGTAAACACATCTCAATAAATAGTCAACGTGAGGAATCCCCACCTCAACACTAATGCCCTCCTTCGCCAGCTCCTCTGCTGCCTGAACATCAAAACTCATTCACTTCAGTAAGGAGTTCAAGAAGAGCACACTAGCCAAGGAACCAACAGTCCCGCTCGCAAAATTGCGACTACATCAAACGTCTGACGACTTCTTCGAAAGATGGTTAAGCTGTTCAAAGGGAGGGCTCGACATCCAGCATTTTACTTGCCAATATAGCTACAAATCGTACGAACAAGATACTAAAACAAGATAATATCTAGATTACGTGACTCAAGACTCTTATGGCTCAATAAGCGGCTTGTTGTTTGAAATACAGAAAGAGCAAGGATGCGTTCCAAAATCTCACCTTGAGGCAAGTTCCAACCATTTTCGAAAACGCTGTCATTGTCAAATCGGTACCCTGCCTCTCAACCTGTCAACCAGAAAATCCATACTACCTCATTGTACTTGTGTCTAATATCAATAAAGATGTGAACTTGAAAACATAATGAACCATGTTTATAACGTAGTTCACTGACGATGCAATTCATTAGAGAAAACACAACGACAAAGGTACACAATTCTACCTTCGCTTTGCCGATGGGAAGAGTAAAACTAGGATCCAGAACTTCGTCGGACACGGTAAAAGTTTCACCGTACCTACAGCATCGCGCGTGGTAACCCATCAACTTTAGGAGTTCGAACTTGGACAACTATTCGAACACAAATCAATCTAATATACCCTAAGCCTACCCTTACTAGGAAGTATGAGTTTTCAGTCTAAAACCCAGTACGATAAAACAAATTTTTCCAAGATCGCACGTTTCTAAAATATAGAGCATACATACATGAGTTCGTTTTCTAGGAAGACGACAGGGTCAGGGTCACGGATGGCAGCCTTGAGAAGACCTCGAGCATCTTCGGCATTGTATGGGGCCAGAACCTTCAAACCTGGGCATGCGCCATACCAGGCTGCAAAGCACTGAAAGGATCATGCATAGACCGCTCCGTCAATCGAAGATAATGTGACATACACACTCCAAACTATACAGGAAAATAAGCTTCAGAAACGTCTCCAGCAACACAAGACAGGACTCCCAGAAGAGACTGCAAACTACCTGAGAGTGCTGTGCAGCCACACCGGCGGCTGCTCCGTTAGGACCTCTGAAGACAATTGGAACTTCGATTTTACCACCAGACATATAATGTGTCTTTGCAGCAGAATTGATGATATGGTCAATCGCCTGCACCATCGACAATTCTTGCTTAGTACTGGGTGTGTAGTCATCACAAAGATAATAACAAAAAACTCCAACCTCAACAAAGAGAAGGAAACAAATTTGGTACGAGTTCCATTGTGAATGATCAGACCTGCATAGCAAAATTGAATGTCATAAACTCGACAATCGGTTTCAGTCCATAAAAAGCGGATCCTACACCAATTCCTGTGAATCCAGCCTGCAACAATACAGATAAACAAATCAGAAAGTCTGAAGCCTCTATGTGTCAACCTAATCGATCTAGTAAAAATAATATAGGCCTGATCAAAGTGAGCATAGAAGTCTCATGTAGTATATCAAGTCACGTAGTAAAGTAGTGGATTCACAAACAAAAGACGTGTAAATAGCTGTTCACAACTGGCAAAGGACTTCGGTCACGTACATTTTTTATCTGAACTATGGCTTATGATTAGAAACGTGTTGGACAAAGAGTAACTATGACCAACTTCAACTCAAATGTAAAGAACGCGAAGCGAGGAAGGAAAAAAAGACCCCGAACAAAATCATCATAGAAAGGAGATATATGCTAACTAAAGGAGCTTTGCAGAGTATATCTGTACTGATACTGAGAAACTACACGTATTGAGAGTCATTTGAGGAGCTACTCAGCAGTATTTAGGTCAGCTATTATGCTCAGGTTACAAGGTACTTGAGGGGTTCAGAACTCTTACCTCGGTAATGGGAGTATCAAGAACTCTATCGGGACCAAACTTTTGCAAAAGTCCCTTAGTGACCTGCAAACCAAGCAGAAAGGATATGAGATTCAACACCGACTTCGGTCAGATATAAGGCAAAGAGGTATTCCGCAATTTTTTTCGACACAGCGAAGCCACAGCCCGCACAACTCCTACGGCAATTCATGATCCAAGTAAATTTTCTGAAGTAAACGCCAGCTGCAATCAGGACTACTAAAAGTAAGATAGTCCAGAGCTTACCTTGTACGCTCCTTGATATTCTCCGACCTGAACTCCGAAGACAAGGTCAAATCACACATTTGACAATCAGTTCATCACTTGAAACATTGATCGATCTTCACAATCATTAAACCTGCTTTATACATGCAGAAAGTAACCACTAAGTATAATTTGGACCATTTTAAATCAACGCCTGGTAAGCTTAGGCACAGGTGACGGCGCAATCCTCATGAGTAACAATCGACAACTTCAAAAACAGTAGAACACGCGTCGATTTGTTCACATCTAGATAGTCCACACATGAAAGATATCGACAATCATGTCTCAGAAGATTTATTATTCTTACCTCTTCTCCGATAATGAAGACCTTGGAATCAGCAGCCATCTCTTCATCGATTGCGGAATTGAGGGCATCTCTCACAGTCATCTGTTGAAACCAGTGACTAAAACTTATAAACAATTCGACGACAAGGCTACAAAGAAAACAAGGTGATTCAGGGTAACATCGAAATAGACTAACTGCTTGGTTAAAGCTTAAAGATTAGAAGGAACTGAATCAAAGATTAGTTCCTGAGTGTGAAAGAATAAACGAACAAATCAAAAGCCCGTGTTTAATCTACGTGTTATGCAGCTGTCATGTGATCCTTTTTTCAACTCTTTGAAGGCAGGTCCGAATCCTTTTACTCCCTCTCTCAATCCAAGATACAAAAAGTGGCAACTCCCAAGTTAAGTATGGCAGAGGACCGCCAATTTGGACCAAACTCGAATATTTCTTTCATATCTACCCAGTAACCGTCACCATGGCCACTGGCCAGCCATAAAGGACAAGGATGTATCATAGATTGTTGAAAAGTGGAAAATAAGCTATTTCTAAAGATCTGTGCGTCAATGTAGAATCTCAATTCTACCGAATCTGTAAAATTTTGCTGGGATACCGTGGATCGTCTATATGTCGCTGAGAAGTTTTAGGTTCCAAAAACATACTATGGACAGAAAAGTTTCTGAAGAGTAACACTACCCTTCGCTTCGTGTCAGCTCCTGGTTTATTTAAGGTCATAGTCGTGAGGAATCTACACAAGGAGGCGGCATACCGTTCCTGACCTAGGAGGTGAACTAGCAGCGGGGGGCGCGAAGTCCGGCCTGAAACAGGTGGACAGAATCTGCGGCTGCACTTGCGAAGTGGCAGACAAACAACGGGTCATCTTCGGTTCCTCATGCAAGTGCTTGTCTGGGGATGATTCATATTTTTCTGTGAACCAACTTCCCACTATCGACGGTTAAACTTCCGGTACCGACCTCGAACTGGCTGATTAGATCCTTCTTAGCTGCAGCTACTGCTACTTAGCACGTGTTCGATTGCAAAGATCTTCAATTTCAGCTACATTATTCTGTTAATTATACTCCGTTCCTCTCATCCTCCACCGCCACATACCTCGGAAGCATTTCTTCGGCCACCACTAGTCCAAGCAGCAGCTGTGGGCTCCAACCCACTTTTACATTTCTGCACATCCAAGTAAGGGAAACTTATAAAATTCAGAATATAGTCTTCGCATCCGCTACCTAGCACGGCACAATTCGAAACAAACCAGCTCCGACGACCTACTTGCATGCCACAGATGAACTCGAAGACCAGCCCTACGGGTGCGAATGACAGCAACCATCGACCACGAAACTTAAACCGATCACCTTCACCAAAATGGACGACATTCCACAAGCATGCGGGATCTCACAAGAAAAAACAACCCTAACATTCACACAAAACTTCCGGATCGATCTGATCTATCGACAAGACAATTAAAACCATCAATTGACTCCATCACGAAAACCCTACAAACGAACCCCGCGGACAACACCACGGGGACCGTAAAGAAAGAAGCGAAACGAAATCCCGGGGAAAAAATGGACGACAAACGAACCAAGACAGTGTTGAGCAGAGACTGAGGCCCGCCAACGCGTCTTCGAATTGCTCCCAACATTGCGCCCCCTCTTTCTCCTACCTCCGGATTGCAGGAGAAAGAACGAACGGAACGATCCGCCGAAGGCCACCAGCACGACCGCCTCGCAAGAGAAACCAACGCGTTCCGCTCGAGAGAGGAGCAGGATGGCCAGAACCGATCGCGCCAGAAGAGGTCCGGGAGAGAGCGAGAGACAGAGACAGAGAGAGAGGCGGAAGAGGAGCCGGATGAATCCCTTTCTGCTATCTGTCTGTCCGACAGACGGGCCACGGGACTGACTCACACACTCGGAGGGAGGAGCTGGTGCCTCTGAAAGGGTCCGCTGTTGCCTTGGCACTTTTGACTTGTCGAGCGCTCCGCTGCCGCAGCCAGCCTGGGCCCGTCGCCCGGCGCGCGCCACCTCCAGTTGCGGGTGGCCACCCCCAGGGCGACCGGCAGACGACGGCCCAGCGGCCCCACAGCCTCTCGCGGGCTCCGGCAGCCCTCGCACTGTTCGTCGGGTGTCCGGACCCTTCCGTCGGGCCAGACGAGCGCGCAACGTGACGACCGGTAGCGGTCCACCATCGCGCAATATTCGACCACGTGTGGTGAGTCCTGCCTCGGTCGCACCCACCCGACGGCCCCCCCCGCCCCTAATGCGCTCGATTAGCGTAATTCGTCGATCGATCGCTAATTCGCCACCTAATTCGCTTCCTCCTCCTGCTCCGTGTGGTGCCTACATCATGCCTTCCTTCCTCTCTTGGCTTTATTTATAGCCCCGCAGTTGACCACTGTACGACCAGCCGTTGCCCCTTCCAACTTCCCCGAGCGAGACCGTCCGGAGGGGTCGCTAATCTCCCCTCCCTCCCTTCGTCCACTTGAGTGGCTCTACAGCTGAAATCTCCAGCGATCTCTGTTTTCTTGTCTCATCGAATTCTCATTCCTTCTCTCCTCTCGTGACATCCTTCTGGCGACTGTCCGCCCTTCTCCGGGTCGGATCTCGCGAGTGGGTGTAGGTGGTTGAGGTCGTCTCCGGGCAGGATCCTCGTGGACTTATTCTCGGGACCATCTCGAGAGGACAAGATGCTGGTCTGCATTGACGTGAGGGCTTTAGTGTGCAACCCTTGCTCGTTACATAACAGGTGGACGTGGACAGAGGAGAAGAGTTAGGATCTGTCTCGACGAATGATTGATATTTTGAAAACTCACGTGAGATCTGTGCTTCGCTAGCTGAGATCCGTTTTTGCTGGTGAACATGTATGTCTGTCTAGAAAGCTGTCTATGTAGCGTTGTTGACAGTCTGATGACCTCGTTTTCCGCATTTGGAGCTCATTCAGCTAATGGAAATCAATCGAGTTTAGTTTCCAGCCCAGACTAGATGTCCACGGTGGTACACTTTGCCGAAGACCAGATTGGCACCGTGGCGAGCATTTCTACGCCCTAGTACTCATCGAAACACATGTGGTACGAATTGCATCAGTCACTGATGAGGCCACGAATATTCATTCCGCAGAAGTCATGAGCGCAGTGTTGACCTATTCCAGGAACGTTACGCATCTTGACTAAGCAGTCGTCTTCGAAGTGTAGAATATAATAAACTGAACTAATATCGGTGTGAGAATCGTCGCGCACTTTGTTCGGCCAAATAACTCAATTCCTCTGGAGGAACCATCCATTGGTACTGGTTGATTCATGTACGGTCAAAAAAGATGATGGTACACCAAGTCATGACGGTAGCTTTCTAATCTAGGGCGAAAATCAACCGAACCATTGATTTATCGGAGTATCTAGTGGAAATAAATGAGGAAGTAAACGCAACTGATCATAAGATTGAAGCTTTTGAGGTCCTTCAGGGCAAACGAGTATACATAGAGACATAAAAATGGTGTTCAGAACTATCTGTACTCCTGGAAGTTGGTGTGCCCCGTAACTTTCGCATGCTCAACCGCCTCCTGCAAACGTACACCATATATGTTAGTTTGGTTCTGCAATTCCCTGCAGGTGCGTACTTACAGGCATCGTGAAGGAACTAGGATCATGCTCACTACAAGCTTTAATCACGTGAACGGGAGGATCCATACAACTGACCTTCTGTCCCACAACTCCCTTCTGACACACACCACATCGCAGGGTGAAGTTGCCTGTGTCGGTAAACTTCCGAGCTCTGCAGCAGTCCAACACTTAATAAGGAGTCCGCAAGATCTTTGTGTGATGTGTGACTTCAGCTCCACCCAGAATTGAGCGACAAGGATTACACGACAAGGAGAACAATTCTCTGAAGCAACAATCTCTGACACACTTGCATGTCAATGCATGAGACTGAATTACTTTCCTTCCTGCATTCTCCTTCTACTGACGTGAGGACCTGCGCGAGTCTAATGTGCCTTCCTGTCAAGACTGGATACCATTCTCGAGCATGTGTTGGACATTCCGACCGTAGAGTCAAAACCTTACCTGTGGGATTCCTCTACCAATCTTTCAGCTAACTTTGCTGCGATGCCTATCTGACCATGCTTATCGACATTGAAGATAGTCTGGTCGACTTCCATCGGTGCCTCTTCAAAAGGAGCCATCTGCATAAAGTGCAACCCGATGAGTCATTAAGATGGGTCAACAACGTGAACTGGGCAGAAGAGCACCTAGCAATGCTATCATTCCGAAAAACGCGGGTGCCAACACTGCAGTGATCGCCAGGAACCTCGGCAATGATGGTAAAATCTCCTGACTGAAGTTAAACGAACGACTGGACTTGCTTGTTAAACAAGGACCTAATAGCTGGTTAGACAAACTCAGTGATATGCAATCAGTACTCAGCCAACTTTCAACACTTTTTGACTGAGCCCGAACTTTAGGATAGCACTCTCGTAATATTACTTCGAAAGTCCGTAAAGAGTAGTTCAACATAAACAAGCCCGAAAGGCAGTCTTTGTTTGTCCTGCGATGATTGGGCCTACTAATTCAAAAAATGTTCTCATGGTTTGCGACTGCGGAAAAGAGGATGAGATGATCTGAAAAGTTCGATCCACGGGACTACATGAAAGGTCGTCTGAGACTTGAGATTTTGACTAAGATTGATGACACAACAGCGATTACTGGTCCTTGAGAATAATACATAACTTCGACAATTCCAGCGGTAATACAAACTGAATAAAACAAACGATTACACAGCAGGTTTCTACAATGAAATATAACAGGTCTCAAAAACAGCAAATGTTGCTGATCGAACAGATAGAGCAACTTCAACTTCGCAATCTGATTGACTAAAAAACCATTCGAAGTCAAGTATCCTCAAGGTTGGTTACTCACTTTGCTCCATGAAGAAACGAGAAGCAAAAACCGACAATCAAATAGTAGAAAATATAGACAAATCTTCTCAGTTTAGATTTGGCCTAGTAACTGATTACAATGTCTTTCTCTGTCATTGGTGTTTGAGAGGACTTACTGCAAGAGCATCGTAATGTAGACCATCGTAAATTACCATCACACGCTCATTCAGCCCTTTGCCCTGCATGCAGCTGACTGAGATTATGAAAATTTGAACAAGAACAAATCTTCAAAGTCTCTATCTTGACTGGAATATTGACAGACCAAGATCATTGAAACCAGCTTCAAGTGAACCTACTGCTCTAGTAAACGGACACAATGACAGCAACCTCGTTTGACACCCAATCGTTGATACGGAAGGAGAGAGAGTAACTACCAACTTTATAGTGTACTGTTCGAAAACATGACTTGAGAAGCGGAACTGAAAGATATCTGATGTTGTAACGTGCGGTGAATGTGCTAAGCATCAGTACCTGGCCATATAGATCACATCGTGTGGTTTGAATGTCATACGCCGCAATTTCACGTCCGTAGTGATCAGATAAGATAGCTAATTCAATTGCACCTGCAGTGGACAAGTCCGAACTCAGTCGAAGAACAGAAATTGAGAGGAATGGTTTCTTTTGAAAGATTCCATTCTTCCATCGCTTCTTCAAGCTGATTCGGAGAGTTTCGAAATTTCAATCTGTGGATTGTTGTACAATTCAATCTAGCCTGATGGCTTGTTTCCATGAAACTCGTATACTAATTAGCAACCATGTCCAGGATGAACCATTCTAACTAATATAAATTGAAAGATATGCATAAGATGTTCGGACAAACCTCCCCATTTATCAGGATTCAATATCCACTGGCAGTATTCTTCATTGGGCTTGCCCAAGAAGGCCTCAGTATACGTCACTGGATCACTGATTACAGTTGCGGCAATAACCTTCATCCGACATCTCCAGATCAGTCATGAGTGTCGGCAGTGTAAAGTACCCACTTAAGTCAGAGATATGCAGACAGGTATATCTGAAATAAAAAAGGTCTTTATTTTTATCACAGTTAGAATTCTAGCAAAGGGCTTCCTATTCCCGGACACTCATGCTCTTCTCGGAGACAATTAAGGTCAACTATCTCTTTCTTGTGACTTCTGCGAAGTGTGAAGAAATCTACTTGGAGGTGGGTTACGGAAACGCTTCAAACTTCAGCTGAAACATCCAAGCGGGAACTTTGTAGGCAAAATTTCAAACACGATATGTTTAGAGGTTTGCGAGGTGATCACATACTTGTCTCAGCTCTGGCGCCTTACTTAGGTTGTGTTCCATAACATACCTGCAAATTTTAAAGAGCATAAATTACGCAGGTTTGGTGATTGGCATGGAAAGACACCTCCTCAGACGATGAGTTAAGAAAGAACTCATTTCAGAAATGAGTGTTATTAGGAAAAATTGCAAATTCCTAGACTCTGTCACGGACGTCCAAAGAAAACAGGCAGCATGGGTTAACTGCATCTCCAGCTCTCATGAGAGAAGGGAGACATTCCAAGATAAACGAAAAGAATGTGGTTCTAATTATGTATGGACAGCATAAAAACAATTTAAATCTTTCAATCGAAGATGGGTCAAGAAGAAATGCAAATCTCAAGTCTTGCGACCTCCTCATAAGAATCAACCGGTGACCAGCAATTTTTCGAACACAGGAATCAAATCAAAAATATCGACCGTACTGACCATCTCCGGATTCTTCAACACTGGACAAACACTGTCGCAGTCTCGGAAAAGCAAGACAACGCCGAAAACTGGTCTACAATTGAAATCACTTATCCAGGAAGCCATCGGACGACCAAATTCGAAGAAAAGAATTAGATTCCACTGAAATCTCCTCCAAGAACCGAGTCAATCTACTCACCCATCCATTCCCAGAATTGGAATGAAATGGAAATCTCGCACAGGAAAGAGGAAGGGAGGTGACGAATACCCGATGGCATTAAACAAGCAACTGTTATCTGAAGGAATAATTCGACGCAGCACCACACCGTCCATGGTTCTGGTGGATGTTGTCGTTTCTCAATGCACGGGTAACGAAATACATTCAATGGTGAAATCCCCCCGACAGGAACGGATCGATCTTCGTCTCAGAAGCGGCTGGGAAGGCACGAAAGTATCAGATCGACGGATTGGTCCAATGATTGATCGCTCAATCGCTCAATCGATCCGAGACTGAAGGTCAATCCGCCCTTCGTCGCCGAGCCTTGAGATTTCAAATGCTCTTCTCTCTGCTCTTCTCTTGGCCCCACGTGCCACCTTGTGCCACGTCCGCCTGCCGCTTTTGCATCTGCGGATCTATCAACGGCTCTTGCGGCTGCCTCGGGCTTCCCGTCCCTAAACACCTGATTGGCGATATTCCATGCCTTAGGGGAAACCCCGAGTCCTAGATTCCTTGGCATGGGCGAACCCACTGCCCTCTCGCCAATGAGATCTCTTTCCTTGCGCTCCCTCGGTTTCAGGCCCGGTGATGAACTTGACCATCCGGTCGAACGGTCACTCACAGTTGAGATTACGTATCCCATGCTCCTAAACGAAAGTTCGTATTTATGAGAAGTGAGTGGACATTTAATTAAGACGACGTGTGATACTTGAGTTGTAACCGGATTAGACCGTTAAACAACAGCCCGGGAAAAAATCTCCAACATCTGAACTTCCTGTTTATTTACTATCCTTCTGCTGGGTACAATAATCGTCAACCTTTACGTCAAGATCTAAATTTGGAGACTCCGAATACACGGCAGACCCTGCGATTGAAGCTGCAATGACAGCATCGTAGACCGAAAACCACATTTTTTCATAAATGAGATAGATGTTTTGATGTCACCAACTTCTTTAAGGAGAAATCATTCACCTTATGCATCTGATGGAGTACGTTACCATCACTTTCAGCGAAATATTGTACTTCATTACTGCTTGGTTTTCATTGTCTTTAACGGAATCATTAAACAAATCATTTAAAAACTGATTTTTAATTATTAATTAGTAATTATCCTTCACTACTTATTATTATGACTAATTGTCTACAAATTAACTGAGATGTGCCCTAGGCTCCCAGACCAGCCACCTTTCCTCTAGGTAAGGAGAGGTGGGGGAGTAAAATGACAGAGTCATTCTGCCTTTTTCCTTTGTCTCTCAATAAAGTACATTAAAGGGACCCGCATGACCATGCTGGTAAGAGAGTGAAAGCCACGTAACGTGGTAGGAAAGCGAATGGTAATTTGCACTACATGCATCTCCGCCTTTGTCCCCACGTTATACTCAACAGGCCTCATATTTGCGCTTGGGGCAATGACGCAGTTACTGAGGTGAAACCGAGACGCGTCAATTGCTGGTTGAAAACTATTTCCAAATTACAGACCGGTAATTCAGTTACTTCTCCTTGAGAAGACTTTTCAACGTATGATGTGGCTACTGGTGTTTAATGAGCACAAAGAAGCAAGTGTAGAAGCCCGTTTTGGGACTTGCGTGTCATGGCACAACCCACCTCACGGTACCTTGCCGTATATGACTGGCTGGATGGTGACGGTGGCTTCAATCCACCTCAATACATCGTGGGGAAACTTGACTACTATTTCGTTCAGGACTTGACAACTTGTAAAGCATCATCCTGCGTAAGTATTAAGTGTTAACTAAAAGCCTTGGAAATTTACTCAATATTAATATATGTAATATCAATGTTCATAATTATACCAAAGCTAATTATTATTATTATCAAAGTCTGTAAATTTCCTAGTTTCTTGTTTGGTTTATTTTATAAAGTAATTTTAAATGATTCTCCAAACCTCTTGTCTAGAAGAAATAATCAATACCTATTGATTATCAACCTAAAAATTATTTTATTCAACGTATTTTTTAAAAAAAATATCATTTTGTAGTATTTTTATTCTATTCTAATCTAATTAATATTTATTTTCATAATACATTTCTATAAAATAACAAAGAATTGTAGAAATTGAAGCACATGGATTCTTTTATGTAATATTTATTTATTTATTTATTGAGTCCAACATTTTACTTCAAATCATAGTCATTAACAACCATCCATGATTATCAAATTAGTCATTCATCCAAAAGTCTCTCCCGAGACTTTTGGCATTTTTTGGGGTATTGATAGTTTTTTCCTAAGTCAAGTGCAGATCTTCATGTAGCTAGATTTTGACATTCACATTATGTTTATGATTGTATTCCAACTCTCATGGTGTCGTGTCCGTCCGATGTGGGGAGCGAGAAAACAAGATGGCTAAAGTTCAAACTATCACTCACATATCCAAGTCTCAAGCAATATTGATGGGCATGTGTTTGTACCCATTTGAAAATTATGTTCATTAAAACCCACTAGGAAATAATAACCACCTATGTTCTACATATGAAAAGATAATCTCAACCAAAATCCATGGACATGAGTGTGGTCATCCAATGTTGTACAATGTGCAAGACAAACTAGAAAAACCGCTATACAAAGTTATATATATATATATATGTTACTTTATTTCATTTTTATTTTGAAAATAAATTTCAAAATACATGAATTTAATTATATTAATTTTTAACAAATTAATTAAATTTATTACTAATCTTATATTTTATTTAGTATTTAATTATTGTAAAACTTAAAACTCCTTAAATCATGTCAAATCATTTCCTCATTTTGTAACAAAACGATGATTACAAAATTTTAATATTCATTTTCATTTTAATTCAAATCATATGAATGTGATGTTTGTAAAATAATCTTAAATTTTATATTAAAATTTTATGTATATATTTATATTAATATAAATTAATTAATGATCTGTTTTACAATGCTTCCGATAGATTTACTATATAGAAATTAGAACATGGCTTCTTTTTTTTACATTTGTGATAAATCATTGAGCATTTGAAACCTTAGAATTGATGTCAAGTGAAATATCAACTTACTTTGCATTTGCCATATTGAATTTTGCAAGCTTTTATTTCATATTCTTAAATTAATCTAACCAAAACTTTCATATCATAATGATTATAGTCATTTGAAACAATACAATAAAGTTGAAATGATGCAGAGAAGATTAGTGTGGCCCCTGCACAAGGATGGTACTCAGAAATCAAGAAATATATATGACATAAATTATTTTAACCTTGACTTGAGTTTTCATCCAAACATCATTACTCAATTGAATTTGAAGCTTTCATGATTTAATTGCTACTAAGCAAAATAAACATATCATCCATGTTTAAAACTAAGATAATACAATCAAATTATCATCATAAAATTTGATAAAAACACATGAATGTATTGAAACTGCATTATGCAAATTCAAATGTTTTCATCATTTCATCTAAGATTGCTAAGATCATATAAGTATTTAAGAAGTTAACAAATCTAATTATTTTTGCTCGTTTGTGGCAAAGCTTCAAAATTGTGTCATATAATTTTTCTAATTGTTTTATACAATATAATGTAGCAGTATTTAATTGATCTAGTATATAATACAAGTTAAAAGATTAATCAATTTGTAGAAAGATTAATCAATATATAATTAACTCAAAAAATCACACCTTTTTTATTGTACTACTATGATACAACTATAGTTGTATAAAGTTTCTTGTGATCAATTTTTCATCTTTTATGTTTACTCGCAATTGACAATGAGTTAATTTTCAATATGTTATATTAATTGTGAAGTCTCATTGAACTCAAGTGATTGAATATGTCTTTCTATAATAACATGTTAATCAAATTTGATTTCACACATCTAAGTTATATTATATAAAAAATCAGTTCTTTTTCCAAGATCTAATAATTTTCAATTTTTTCCCTTTAACAATGTCATTACCTTCTAATAATAACAGATTGGTCATTATTTCATAGCTTTCAAGATTTTAAATTAGATATATAAGAAGATATATAGTATATTACTTTGCTTAATATTGATTGTTTGATGTTTTATAGAAAGTAGCATCAATTATCTCTTGCTTCTCAACTTTTTCGAGGTTTAAAATCACATACTCTTGCATATTTTTTTTTAATGTAATAAAAATCGTAATGAACAATATTTTTCAAATGTATTTGAAACAGATTATTATCAACGTTATAAATTACTTAATCTATCAGTAATTTTTTCCATTAAAATAAAACATCTCTATTAGAAAAAACCTGAAATTAATATTACTTTAATATATATTTTTTATTCATATAAGTAGCATATTCAAGAAAAAAATATTTAAAAACTTTTAACTCAGACCTGAACATATTTTTTCTATATGCATTGCAATCAAAGACTTCTAACCTAATCTATTTTGTCATGGATCTATGCTTTAATGCTAGCAAATTTTCTACATTGATTGTATCAAGAAAAAAATTATCAAAAATAAACCATGAATTTAACGTTTCCATGCAAAATTTATGTTGTGAATCAATTTGATCCAATTTTATTTGAATATTAATCAATATTTTTATATTAAGATTCAACAATGCTTTTGTTGAAAATTATATATTGTGATTGAATGGCAAGTAATTCACTAGTACTCTTTGTGACGATTTTTAAATTCTCTAAGATTGTATCACCGCCAATATCAAATTTTAGATTTCTCATAACTTCATTTTTTTCATAATAAGTTTGCATTCATGCTCTTCAATTCAAAAAATTTAAAAAATTAAACTTTTTCCATGAAAATATTTATAATATCACTTGCTAAAAAATAAAATTAATAAAAAAAATAATGTAGTTTACTCATGTAAACATTTCAAAATTGCTTAAAATTATAAATCTCAACACAAAGATGTTTGGTTTTTTTCATTACAAAAAGTTCACTAATGTCAATATTACCCTAAAATGTAAATATTTTTTTATTTAGCATTTGAATGTTTTGATTATGCTCAATGTGAATTAAACATGTTAATCATATAATCTTTCAAAATAGTATTATGCTGCTCTTCAAAAACGATAATGATGTCAGTTATGTTAAGATTTTAGTTTGTGTTAAGTTGCATGAAAAAATTGATAATAATCATATCACTTCAATTTATTCAAAATAAGCCATCAATAAAATTATTAAAAAAACTTTATCATATTTAAAATGAAATCATATTTTTTTCATTTTAGATACAAATCTAACGCAAATCATTTCTCACAATTTTTCATACAAGATAAAAGTACATATACAAGATACCACTTCATTGATTAATACTCATGAATAGTAATCTATTTAGTGTAAAAAGTTAACTCATT